TATTTGATCACCACTGTTTTTTTTAATTATTATTATATAAATGAAAAAAGACTGAACATTTTGAAAGAAAAATTATATTTTCTACTTTCTGTTGTAAAACAGATCTAATAAACTCAAAATTCTTTATAAATGTATGCCAAAAGGTGTGCTGAGAGGCATATGGAGCCCATGTTAGATTTTATTTTTTTGTCACGAGTTTTTAAATATGACAAAAAAAGTCTCCCTTTTTTACACAATGTTGTTAATGAGATTTTTCTCACACATGCCATGGGTATATTTGGAATTACACCCTAAAACACATTCTGCTACTTCTAATGAGTACGGGGATACCACGTGTGAGATTTTTATGGGAGCATACCTTTCCAGCTTTTATAGGGCATAGTTTCCTCATTTCACTTTCTGAATACCTATCACAATTTCAGAGGACCTGAAATGCCAGGATAACACAACCACCCCCCTCAATTTCCCCAAATTACCCCTTTCGAAAAGTAGAAACCCCAAGCTATTTGCTAAGAGGCATGATGAGTCCATGTAAGATTTTATCTTTTGCCACAAGATTTTGGAAAATGACAAAAAAAACTTTTACACAAAGTTGTCACTTTAATGAGATATTTCTCACACATGGCATGGGTATATGTGGAATTACAGCACAAAACACATTCTTCCATTTTTCTTAAGTATCACATGTGAGAGACTTTTTGTCAGCCTGGGCAAATACAGTGGTCGAAAATCCAATGGCCACCTTTAGGCTTTCAAAGGACATCATTTCTTCATGTTGCTTCCTCACTACATATCACAGTTTTGGAGGCCCTGAAATGCCAGGATAGTAAAAATACTCTCCCCCCCCCCCATGACCACTTTTTGCAAAGTAGCCAGTTGCTAAGAGGCATGTTGATTATTATGCAGATTAGAATTCTTACCATAAGTTTTTGGAAAATTTATTTTTTTTTCTCTTTTCAGTTTTAAAAACCTTGTGCTGAAAAATTAGATCTGCAAAATACTCACTATGCCTCTTTTTTTAAAATTGTGATAGGTAGTGAGGATGCAACATGAGAAAATAGGCCCTTTGAAAGCCTGAAGGTAGCCATTGGATATTGGGGGCCTGTATGTGGCTAGTGTTTTAGGGTATAATTCCACATATACCTATAGCACATGTGAGAAATTTCTTATTAAAGTGACAACTGTGTTTAAAAAAAAAAAAAAAAAAAATTTTTTGTCATTTTCCAAAACCTCGTGGCAAAAAATAAAATCTTCCATGGACTCAACATGCCTCTCAGCAAATAGCTTGGGGTGTTTACTTTCCAAAAAGGGGTAATTTGGGGGTGTTTGAACTGTCCTAGAATTATACAACCACAAAAGCACTCCCAGTGCTGTTGAATGTGGCTAAGGATGACAACCCATGAACTCCACAAGAAAATGCATAGCCGATGCAGCCCTCCTTGGATGGGGAATCTGGTAGCAACTACAAAAAAGAACAAACAGGAGGGTGCAAGCACCTAGTATGTCAGGGATTGTGTTATCACCTGGATCACCTGCTGGTGACACTGTGGTTCCCAGAGTCAAAGGGCGCAGTTCCGGTGATCACCAGCAGGTGTCTTCCAGCAGCTGGGCTGTCTGAGTAATTAGACTGCACTTGATGTGGACTGCTGGGAGGTATATAATACTGCTCATAACTGAGGTTCAGTGCTTCAGTATTCCTCTTGCAATCCGTATCCCTGCATGATCTTTGTTCCTGTACCCATACCTGACCCTGAGACCTGTTCCTGTGACCTACTCCCTGCAAGGGTGAGCAAGAGAGCACAGAACAGGGAGAGCAGGAGGGCACAGTACAGAATGGGCAGGATGGAACTGTACAGGGCAGGCAGGAGGGCACAGTACAGGTTGGGCAGGAGGGAACAGTATTGGGGGAAGGAGGGCACAGTACAGAATGGCCAGGAGGGCACTGTACAGGGCAGGCAGGAGGGTGGGCAGGAGGGCACAGTACAGGTTGGGCAAGAGGGCACAGTATTGGGGGACAGGAGGGCATAGTATTGGGAGCAGGAGGACACAGTACAGTGGGCAGGAGGGCACAGTACAGGGCAGGCAGGAGGGCACAGTAAAGGGCAACCAGGAGGGCAGAGGACATGGCAGGGAGGAGGGTACAGTATGGGGGTCTCTGCTGCTGCAGGATAGGGGAAAGGGGTCACTACTAACAGTGCACTAAGCAGAACTCAGCTCTGTCACCCGCCCCTGCACTGTACACATCTTGAACACAGGCACTAATATCTCCTGCTCTCCCACACAGCACACACTGGAGCTGCAATCCAATTATACATAGCCACGATCTGCAAAGTGTAAAGCTGGCTACTGTGTGTAGCTCTGACCCAGGGGCGGACTGACAACTCATGGGGCCCCCGGGCAATAGGGGATCATGGAGCCCCTGTGTCCTTGCCCAAACTCAAAAAAGCCTATGAAAAAGATACCAGGGGCATCTCATGGGGCCCCCTACTGACCCCGGGCCCTCGGGCAGTGCCCGAGTTTCCAAATGGTCAGTCCGCCCCTGCTCTGACCTGTGAAATTCCATGGTCAGAATGGCAGCTCAGTTGCAGTAGCCTGCTGTACACTGTGCAGATCGTAGCCATGGATGGGAAGGAGGAGCTCTAAGTGCTGTGTACTGTGCAGGGATGGTAAACTGCCAGCACAGCTTCAGGAGCAGAGGAGGAGTTTTGGGGGGTACAACTTAAATCTGGGGGGGCCCAACTCATCCCTAAATCTGGGGTCCAACACAATCCAGCAGCACCCTAGACCTACTCATGATCTCATCAGTGCTGCTGCTTGTGTGGCCGGGATGTTTTCTGCTCAGATCCTCGCCTAATAATCCCATGTGATCAGAACAGTGCACTTACCGCCCACACAAGCAGCAAATTCTCCCCCTTGGGGGGTTCTTAATTCCTGCAAAGTATCAGAGGAGAGCTCAGGGGGAGGGGGGGGGACTGTATAGTCCCCCCATGCACCTGGGACCCCTGGGCAATGCCCAGGTTGGCCCATGCATTACCCATTTTCCCGCTGCCCTATAGTAGAACTACTGTTACAGGGCTGCAGGGCTACACAAAATCACACACACACACACACATATTATATATATATATATATATATATATATATATATATATATATACACACACACATATATATACACATATGCACCTGATTTGCATTTCTGCGTAGGGGGCATGCACACGCCACGCTACCCGCACCGTCATTGGCGGCTAGTGATGTCAATCACCAGGTCCCAGAAGGAGATTACCTCCTGGCTGCCGGTGATTGCCAAGTAAAGCTGACAAAGGAGAGACCTGTATGTAAACAACACAGGTCTCTCTCCTGCCAGCAAGGACATGCTGCTGTGTACTTCTCTGCACAGCAGAGAAATACACAGCAGCATGTCTCCCATGTAAAACACACACAGCACATCAAGTAAAACAGCACACAGTTAACCCTTTGATTTCCCCAGATGTTAACCGCTTCCTGCCCAGTATCATTGGTAGAGTGTCTGTGCTTTTTATTAGTGTCATTGGGATGTCTGTGGCAGCTAGTCAGTTCCGGCCCAGTGTCAGAATGCATGCTGCAGTCCTGCTGTAAGTTGCTGATCGCCATCATTACTAGTATTAAAAAAGAAAAAAAAAATTCCAGTATATATATGCACTGCCATTTATAGACGCTATAACTTTCATACAAACCAATTAATTTACAAGGGATTTTTTTTTAGCAAAGACATGTAGCAGAATACATTTTGGCCTAAATTTATGAAGAAAATTTAATAATTGTTTTTACTGCATATGTTTTATAGCAAAAAGTCAAAAACCTTGTTTTTTTTTTCAAAATTGTCGGTCCATGTTTGTTTATAGCGCAAAAAATAATAAACACAGAGGTGATCAAATACCACGTGAAAAAGAACATAAATTTCATTTATGTACAGTGCTGCATGACCGCACAATTGTCAGTTAATGTAACGCAGCGACGTATCATTAAAAATGGCCTGGTCAGGAAGGGGGGTAAATCCTCTGGAGGGCAAGTGGGATGGCCCTGGGGTAACCTCCTCATTGCATAGAAAAAAAATTGGGATGCAAACCATGAATCCAATAAACCAGTCTTTATCGGGTGTGTCAGGGGCAGGCTCTGGTAAGCTTCCATGCAGCGCCTCCAGGAAAATGGAAGAAATCTCTGAATCAAAACACACACAGAGAAGGGTGCCATCCAAGTGTAGCATTAAAACATTTTTTGTATGTTAAACACAACTGTGTGGCTATGTGTTTCAAGGTGCTCCTGACTCCCCTCAAGAGGCTTGACAAAGCGGTAGGAACGAAGAGGTGTTTATTATTTTTAGTAAAAAAATTATCTCTTTCTCTCACTATATGTGTGTATATATACTATATTTTTTGCTAAATAAGACACACCTGACCATAAGATGCACCTAGGTTTAGGAAAACAAGAAAAAAATTATTCTGAACCAGTGGACTACAGTACAGGGGACCAGAGACTGACAGTACAGGGGATGACCAGAGACTGCGAACGGTACAGGAGATACCAGAGACTGCGGACACAGGGGATGACCAGAGACTGCGGACACGGTACAGGAGATGACCAGAGACTGCGGACAGTACAGGGGATAACCAGAGACTGCGGACAGTACAGGGGATGACCAGAGACTGCGGACAGTACAGGGGATGACCAGAGACTGCGGACACGGGGACAGGAGCATGGTACCAGGGGAGACTGCGGACACGGTACAGGAGATGGACCAGAGACTGCGGACACGGTACAGGGGATGACCAGAGACTGCGGACACGGTACAGGGGATGACCAGAGACTGCGGACACGGTACAGGGGATGACCAGAGACTGCGGACACGGTACAGGGGATGACCAGAGATTGCGGACACGGTACAGGGGATGACCAGAGACTGCGGACACGGTACAGGGGATGACCAGAGACTGCGGACACGGTACAGGGGATGACCAGAGACTGCGGACACGGTACAGGGGATGACCAGAGACTGCGGACACGGTACAGGGGTTGACCAGAGACTGCGGACACGGTACAGGGGATGACCAGAGACTGCGGACACGGTACAGGAGATGACCAGAGACTGCGGACACGGTACAGGAGATGACCAGAGACTGCGGACACGGTACAGGAGATGACCAGAGACTGCGGACACGGTACAGGAGATGACCAGAGACTGCGGACACGGTACAGGAGATGACCAGAGACTGCGGACACAGTACAGGAGATGACCAGAGACTGCGGACACGGTACAGGAGATGACCAGAGACTGCGGACACGGTACAGGAGATGACTGCAGACATATTACAGGGGATGAACAGAGTTATTTCAGCAATGCACAGGTGTACAGTTTGTGAAGAACAGCTGAGGGTTTGGTATAACAGTCCACAGGCAGTCTATGGGGGGGAAGGACATACCTGGCCAGCCATGCTCAGCATCCTCTCTGAGGTCCAGGGGCGGGGCTCCCACTCACATCACTTCTACTACAACAGCTCCCTCTCGAGCATACAGGCTGCATAGGGTGGGATCAGCGGAACTTCCAGACCTGACCACGCCCCCTCCCTGCTGGCTGGCCCGGTATTCTAACGCGGCAGTGGCAATGGGGGGAGGCCTGGTCAATATGCGCTCCATAAGAAGCACAGGCACTTCCCCCCATTTTTTGGGGGAGAAAAAAGTATGTCTTATGGAGCAAAAAAATAAGGTATATATATATATTACAACCACATTAATCACCATCATCAGCTGTAATGATCTATGGATAACATCATCAGTAACTGATTTATTTTACTAGTTGGCAAGATTTTTCAAATATTGACAACTTTTACATTCAAAGGTGTACAGTATAATATGATTCCTCAATTCATATTTGCATGTACTATATTGTTGGAAGAACACTGATGTGACCTACCCAGACGTAAACACATCATATACATGCAGATGGGTAATAAACAGATAAAACAGAAGCACTAGACAAATGGTTGATGACAAGGTAAACAATGAAAAACACATGAGCAGATGGTAAGAGAAAGGAACATTGATGAGGCATGGGCTTATTGTTTAAGTGCTGTTTTTGCTGAAATATAGAAAAAAAATATATTAAATATGCAAATGACTACCATATTAATAACAGGCCACCTTTAAAGTGTTGCTAAACCCACAACAGTAAAATCAGTCTGTATATGCAGTAAAGCATGCTTGTTATACTCACTGTGGAACCTAAGGGGTTAATCCCCTGCATTGTGTAAAAAGGCTGTTTGATCCGGTCTTCTCTACCCTCCTCTTGTTGAAATGACCACCTGATACACACTGAATCTGTAGTCACATGCACATGTTCAGTTTGGTGTGTATTGCTAGAGAGGTTTTTTTTTTCATGGGAGGGTGCATGTGATCAGCACAGGACCAATCAGCATTGTACCGGTATCTGATCCTTTGTGCAAGGAGGAACAGGATGAGCACTTGCCAGAGCCCTAAAAAATGACCTCCAGCATTCCACTGACCAAACAATCAGAAACAAACTTCATGAGGGTGGCCTGAGGACCCGATGTCCTCTAGTGGGCCCTGTGCTCATAGAGCTCGATTGGCATTTGCCATTGAACACCAGAATTGGCAGGTCCGCCATTGGCACCCTGTGCTTTTCACAGATGAGAGCAGGTTCACCCCGAGCATATGTGACAGACGGGAAAGGGTCTGGAGAAGCCGTGGAGAATGGTATGCTGCCTGTAACATTATTCTGCATGACCATTTTGGTGGTGGGGTCAGTGATGGTCTGGGGAGGCATATCCATGGAGGGACACACAGACCTCTACAGGTTAGACAATGGCACCCTGACTGCCATTAGGTATTCTGATGAAATCCTTGGACCCATTGTCAGACCCTAAGCTGGTGCATTGGGTCTTGGGTTCATTCTGGTGCACAACAATGCTGAGAGTATGCAGGCAGTTCCTGGAGCATGAAGGAGTTGATGCCATTGAATGGACCCCACACTCACCAGACCTAAATCCAAGCGAGAGCGGTGTAGCAGCTGTTGACTTTTTTTCTATTAAATACAAATAAATGTATCAGTTTTATACAATGCTTTATATTTTTATTTTTTCATCACTTGTAAAACAAAGGGAAAAGGGCAGCATTTAAGGAGAAGCTGGAGAGAGACAATGGGATGTCATTTGTAAAAAGAGTTTTTTTACCTGAAATTTGAGCAAGGTATAATGTTCTGGTGAGTTCATTTTGACACTGGAGTGGGGAGAGAGCACTGGCTATTTGTTTGCAGCTGTTCATGGAGGCAAAGGAAAAGGAAGATACAATATTGCATTTTCTCTAAGATTATGACACTTTGAAAGTGGTTACACAGTTTGAATAATTTAATAAACCTCATCACAGGAATTTTACCACAGAGACTTTATTCATAAGGTCTTGGTTTCAATAAAAGGTTTTTTCCAGATATTTTTTTTTTGTTAAGAGTTTGCACAAACGACAAAGAAATTTGGAGCATTGAGCCTATTGGTGGGTGCCTTTATTTTTTATTATATTGTGACAGTGTAAGGCCCTGCCACTATGAAAAAGGGAAGTAGATATGGCACAAGGTGCACACATATGCAGCATGTGGGACTCCGGATATTGATTCTGAATGGAGAAAGGTAGTTTTTTCAACTTTCTCCAGATTTTGGTATTCTGAGATTGAGTTCCAGAGTTTTTAGATTTCAAAGAGATTTGGTAAGGAAGACATCTCTAACCTAGCCGCTATATCTTGCAGAAGATCAGAAGATGAAGAGCTTGTGCATAGTTCAGAGCTCTCATTAGGAGACAGGTGTCCTCTGCTAAAGAGTCAGTACCCCATGTTGGAGGAAATATTCCATGTCCATAGGGCTGAGAGGGCCAAGATGGCTTAGTGTGTCTGGGAGAACAAAAGGGCCAAGATGACTATGTGATTTCAGGGGACTACAAGAATCTGGAAGTCTCAGAAGAGTGAGAGTGCCTGGGGGTGTCAGGTGATCCCCTATCGAGAGGACAGGGAGTGGACCTGTGCAGCAGGGTGCTGCAATTGAGAAGGCTGAGAAATCCAGGGAAATTGAGCAGGCTAAGAGAGCCAGGAGAGCTGGGAAAGCTGAATAAATATGGTGATACTGTTACTAAGATGGTCTGAGAGACCAGCCAAAAGCCAAGGTTAAGGCCTAGGCAACGGCACTGATAAAAAGAGAACCAGGTGGCTTGGTGTTTTCCTTATTTATGATGGTAAAAATCCCCTGCATGGGCAACTGTTTTTGTGGAACTTTAATTTTGTTTAACAAAATAGGGCCAACAAGCCCTAAACCACAGTTTGGACTAGCTTGGACTCACTTCAGTTGCTTCTGCCACTGAGCTAATTACCCTCAAATCACAGTATAAGCCCTTAAATTTAGTACTGCTAGGCTGCAATCAGCCTAAGCTGAATTGATAATTCTTTATTCACTTGGTCTCCACTAAGGCCAGTGGTATTGTTTGCTGTTGCCTGCTGTTAAGGTGTGTCCCTGGCAATAGTACAGAAAGATTCAATAAGGCTGAATTATGAGTATTCATGTCCTGAGGCCAACCACTAAAAGGGTTATTGCCAGTAGTGCAGGTTGGAAGACGATTTAAAATATTTGTGTGAGAGCTTTTGAGCTCTCCTCCCCCATCCCCCATGAGCGCTTGCCTGGGGGAGGGTGTATGCTGGAAGTCTCATTCTCCTAGGCCTGCTACCTGGGGAGGGCACCTGTGTGTTCACGAGACAAAGCCTGCGCCTGGTGCCTAGGCTTGCACCACTTGGTGGAAGTGGTTTCCCAAGAGGAGTAAAGAAAATCCTGCGAAGGAATACCAGAGAAGAACATCAGCTGGAGATGCATGAGAAGCTGGAATTTGGATTCTACCTCAAAAACAGTCTGGTATCTCCTGTATCTCCACTTGGTGGAAGTGGTTTTAAAGGGGGAGTAAAGAAAATCCTGGGAAGGAATACCAGGGAAGAACTTCAGCTCGAAATACACGAGAAGCTGGAATTTGGATTCTACTTCAACAACAGTCTGGTATCTCCTGTAGGGAGTGTGTGCTGCATTTGTTCTACAGTTGAGTGCTCTAGAATCAAAGGATGTTGGTCTAGCTTAAAGGTTGTTTTACCGGAGAAGGCTGTGAGTATGATTTTTACTGTGGTATGCCATGATCCAAGGGTGTCCTGTCCCCTAACCCTCTCTCCCTAAGTTTATGGTGAATAAACGCTAGACTTTGAGGTGGCTCACATCCATCTGTTTTCAACTCCACTAAGGACTCATGGGCATTTTTTGTGTGGCAAAATAAGATAGTTTATGGTGTCACTGCCACCTATCAAAACCCAGTAATGGCTCCAGGAGGGCCCCATATACATAGCTGCAGCTGCAAGGTCTTGTTTGGCAGGTGATTATTCTGCCAATGTGTCCCATAGCAGTGAGTAGGGCCAAGTCACAACCTCATCTGATGGATGAATTTGCAGCACAGTAAAAAAAGAATTTCAATGTGTAACAGGTGTGTGAGGTGACATATTGCCTCCTGGTTGCCTGATAACCAGAAGCCATCTACTACCAATGTGATCCAACACAGATCATGAGTCAGCAGCATTGCCCATGTGGAAGTAGCTTAAAAGTCAAGGACTCTACCCTGAGATAAAATGTCAGTCTGCCCAACCATTGGGGGTCCTTATCTATGCCTGGGAAGGGGTGGTGTTGGTGGTGGGTGATACAACATCTAAATGCCTTGAAGCTTGATGGCAGTAATATTCTTCTAATGTAGCTTCACTGCTGAGCTCTGCAGGGAATCTACTGAGCCTCTCCAGAGCACATGGAGCCCATGCACCTGCTTCAACCCCTACTCCTTAACCACTGTGCCCAGCCACAAAATGCAGCTAACACCCATTTCTTTTATGGCTCATTCACACTATGCTCCAAGACATGTGTTTTCTGAATATGCAGTTCAGTTTTGGGCACTAATTCACAAAAAGAACACTGGGAAACTAGAGAAAGTACAGAGAAGGGCAACCAAACTGATAAGAGGCATGGAGGAGCTAAGCTATAAAGATTAGAGGAACTGAATTTATTCTCTCTTGAGAAAAAGAGATTAAGGGGGATATGATCAACATGTATAAATACATCATTGGTTCATATAGTGAACTCGGTGTAGAGTGGTGCAAGCCTAGGCACCTGAGGTCATCACCGACGACAAGGGGGCACTCTATGTCTGGAGTAAAATAAATTTAATCTCCAAAACACAGAAATGTTTCTTCACAGTGAGAGCTGAGAAAATATGGAATAGACTACCTCAAGAATTGGTTCTGGCCAGCTCAGTGGATTGCTTTAAAAAAGGCCTGGATTCTTTCTTAGATACACAGAATATAACTGGATACCAACATTTATAGGTAAAGTTAATCCAGGGAATATCTGATTACCTCTCGGGGGATCAGGAAGGAATTTGTTTTCCCCTGCAGGAGCAAATTGGATCATGCTTTGCTGGGGGTTTTTTTTTTTTTTTTGCCTTCCTCTGGATCAACTGTGGGTATAGGATTATAACTTTTTTT